GTTACAGCATATTCTATTATGTATGAGCGGCATTGGAATCAGAATCATATAAGTCACCGCCGAGTAACCGGTATTGGAAGAATTCGCGTATGCCTTATGCGCCAGTCAGTATCCTCTCCCGAGAAGATTGGACCTTATAGGCAAAGCATGGCGGGCCAAGCATTTGACCATTAGAACTAGAACCCCTCCACCAACAAGCGGTTGAGATCTCCGTATATACTTACTTGGCCGTTCTGGCACCCCAAGGTTCAACCTTTCCGTCACTACGTGACCTACACCCACCACGGAAGGCGACGGCCCAAGCTCAACTTAGGTAGGTCAATTTCATTTACTGGGGTAGGAAGGGGTGCTGCTTCCACTGGCGCTGGATCCCTAATGAATGGAACTGAATATGCATCTGCATTTGGATCCTAAGACGTATAGAACTGAAAGTGCTATTGATGGTGGCGAAACTCTTGCTAGCTTTGGCTTTGCCCCTACACCTGAAGGATATGAAATTGGCACTGCTCGCGCTGAGGGTGGGTCTTTATCTCGATTTGGTGAAACCCCTTCTTCTGTTTCAAATGCTGGTGGTGAATCAACGGACTATGTTGCAATAGATCGTGCCTTTGCCGGGAGAGAAGAGCGACGCCGGACCCTCCATTTGGTCTGTTCAGTTCGAGGTCATGAAAGGTTAAGTCCAGTGACTGATTCATAAAGGGAAGATACTGAGTAAGCAGATCGTAGGAATAGAAGAGTAGTAACCGGTAGCACGTGTATGACCCGCCTATGCTCTCGCTCAGGAAAGCGGATATCGGAGTGGACAAACAAATAGGGTAGGCATGCCCTAAGCTCTAGGTTAGCCAGTAAGTTTAGGTAGTGAGGTAGGTTAGCCGGTAAGCTTAGTCGTGTCCTGTGTTTCTATCGTTAGGTAAGCCAGCCACCGTCGTGTCTTAGGTAGTTGAGATGGGAAACCAGCCTCTGTTAGGAGGTACGGATGGGAACCAGCCTATGTATATAAGTTGGGAGGTGTAGATGGCAACCCGTCTAGGTTAGTCGGTTCGGTCATAGCACCAACCCGCTTAATAGGTGAGGGTTAATGCCTGCCAGCCAGCGGTTAGTTGGTTTAGTGGTCCCCTTAGCCAGTGATGATCTGACCCGTAACATACGCCATTTGCAAGTGGTGCTATTGCCATTGCTCCTATTCTGACGGATCACTTTGCTT